CCAACTAAAAATCCCTATATTTTAGCTCAAATAAGGGCCCTAAAAAGCCCTGTAATAATTAGAATAATTAGTATAATTACATTTTATATCATAATATGCGACTGGTTAAAAATAATAGCAATTATTGGTACACTTGAAAAAATGCACCCAAACCAAAAAAATGTCATCCACAGTCCCAAAAATTCATAATGTTCCTTGAAAAATAAAAAAAAATATTAATTAGTGGCAATAATTACAACATGACAACTAGGGTGTTAGAATTTTGACTGCCTTAATTTTAACAGACGATAGAATACATTAAAATAAACAAAAAAATCTTATATGACATAGGTCCTAAACTCGACCATTTCCGAGAAAAAAATTATCAAAATCTCCAACTTGATGTCCAAAAGTTCGATTAATTAAGGAATATTGACATAACTGCGTGCATAGAATACCATAAAATACAATGTTTATCACTGTTCTGAACTTCTTTATGCTTAATTCTAAAAAATAATTAGCGTTGTAATAAATTTAAAATTCGATAAAATTCATATCGAGCAATGTGACAACGGCGCGGCGGATAACACAAGATACTAAGCTGTCCAACATTACGCAATTCAGTTGGTATCTGGAATTGGACCGTGTCTGAGTGCTTTTTGCGTACCACTATTTCCTTTTCTTGAGGTGTTTTCCAGCGAGTGCGCGAAAATTTAATTCGAAGGTGTCGTGCGTGCATCGAAAATTGTGATGAATATTTTGAGCATATGTAGTTTGTTTTGTACTTATGCGTTTAAAAATTACTGAATTTTGCCTTTTGGTATTTGGATGACGTGAATCTTTGGGTACTTTAATTACATAGTTTTCAAATTCATAATTTGATTAAGAGTCAAGTTCCTGTTTTAAGAGATTCATAATTACTAAAATTCGAGCTAAAATTTAAGCTCATTATCTTCGTACTACGAAATCGATACATTTTATTTTATTTAAGTATTTAAGACCTGGAAAACAAATGCCTTGAAATTTACTAAATGTTTCACAATAATAGTTGTTTACGTTTTTTTCGTAGGACAAGTCTGCCGAATGCACACGTGGTATGCACCAACTGTGTAGCCGAGAACATGGCTTTTTTATTCTACTCAATTTTAATGTTTTTAATTTTACCTTTTTTTCTTATTGTTAGACAAAATCTTTCTTAGAATGACAATTGCTGATGCAGTTAATCTCTGCTCTTTCGAATCAAAAGGGCAATATGGCCCTTCAAATGTTGTGAAAAAAATATATATTTGACGTTAAGGAGAATCGTATGCGACAGATTTAGATAGACCACTTCCAAATAAAAATTTTGCGGCATTTGAATTTTTTTCGTGAAATCCACTCTTCATGGTTAACAGTCCAAAAACCATGACAAAGTTAGGCGCATGTTAGCGCTAGTGATATGCAAACCAGAATAACAAAGTTTTGCACTAATTGTTGAGAAATTAGAGCAAAATAATATATGATCCGCTACGACACAATTGCCGTGGATTTTGGATTTTTTCCTGGTAAACTGAACATTTTGCCATAAAAGAAGCAAACATGTTGAACAGAAATTGTTACTTACTCCTTTAATGATGATCTTGAATTTGTTTCGATTACAATCTGTGAAGATTCGAAGAGTCCTTACAAAATGATTTTTTTTATTTCAAAAAGGAGAACCAGCTCTGAAAGTTTGTCGCACCATCGCTTTTACACCTTCACACGATCATCCATAAAGATTAGGTGGATTCACAGTAACAATAGGTATAATTCTATATTCTATAATTTTCACAGGATTATAACAGAATAATTACAAACGCCATTGTTGTGAACCAGGTAAAATAATCCCCATACGAAAATTTGCTTCCGTCAGAATCCTAAACGATTTATCAATTATATTTTCATTTGAGACGCAAGGTTATATTTACGTTGACATCCACAAGCACGCGTATCAGAGGAATAAAAATAAATTATATTCCAAACAACGCCGATCAAAGGATGCGTCTTTGTGAAAATACGCAGATAGCATAAATTCAAATAACAATTTAATCAAAACGACCTCCGTTATAAACAAAGAGAAAGTGATGTATGCCAGTGCTCAGTACTACCTACATAACAATGTGTATCGTTAGCTCTTCGACGTTGCACGTCACTGGTAGTGGATAATTATAGATAGAGAGAAGCCACCGAGTGTAAACAGAATATTTAAGATTCTCATGATCAATTTACAGCAAATTGCGTCTCTGAAATGGACACCAAGCGCAACATATTAGACTTTTACTTCATAAAACAACATTTAAATTGGTCCCAGCATGAATAAACTTCCCATAAAAAAATGCAGTACTGTTTTTCCAAACAGAAGGGTACAAACAACAAAAATATCATATAATATAATATGTATTAACAAAAAGAAATTCGATATTCTAAATATTTCTTCATATTTATGGGAACATATTTCTATGGAAAATAAATATACAAAGGGCCAGCTGTACATAGTGAAAATGGATAGAACATTTCAATACATATGTTTCTATTTTTACTGATGCTGCATTCAAGAATGGCTCAAAGCTCCCCATTCAATTTTTTTGCCAGCACGCATCTGCGATTAAAGGTTGTCCCCATCCCCATTGCATTCAAATGCCAAAAGAATCGTTAATGCTTTATATATATTATTTCGAAGTATCTAAAAATACGGCATATAAATCAACAATAACATCTCATGTGTTAAAATATGCTTCAAAACGGCTTTCACTGACAGATTAAAAATAAATACTTTTTGAAGATTAAAAGGGTTGCTGTAAGAGGATAGGTGAGATACTCAAAGCGCTAATATGTATTTCATTATTCTTTGATTTGGAAGTACAACGCGTTAACCTTAGATAAATTATCTTATTGTTAGTTTCAGCATGTCTCATCTATCATCTAAAAAAAAAAAAAAATTAAATCCCATCGAAATTAGCTCAGACTGTATTTGAAGGTTATCTCAAACTAAAAACAGCAGAACACTCTAAGGAATGTCTAGCAGCCAATATGTTGTAGAAAGTCTTAGAACTAATTGTTTATTTTTAGTAACTTTTAGAAAAAACACATTTTTTATGAATACCCAGAAGATTATGTCACTCATACTATGAAGAATTAAGTAAAAAACAAAAGGATCAACTGCAAATCAAGCAAAATAAATATTTATCAACATAAGATTAAATATCATGGATACTAGTATTTCTTATATGTGATATAATGATTGTCTTTCTTAAACTGGATTAATATTTCTAAAATGAAACGTTATTTATTGGATGGTATAAACGATTTTATCTGATTATGGCCAATTAACATGTTACTTTCTATCTAATTAAATTGGTGATTGATTACAGAAGAATATGGGCAAATTAGAATGGTAAAACATTTGCAAAACCGACTTTGAATAAGCAAACATTTAATTTAATATGTCTAGAGCTAGATGACCCTATTATTATTTTGCGTTTTATTGTTCCACTATTCTTTTTTTAAATTTTAGGTATACAAGAAAAATAATATATTTGGCAATATATTCCTGCTGTTAAAGAGGTCAACAACGCGCACAGTAACTTGAAAACAAACTTCAACGATATAAATAATACATAATAACAGTATTTTGCATTATCTATGTAGGTACCTAATGCAAGAAGTTGTCCTGTTAGTTTCATTTGCTAAATTGAATGAGTATGCAGTCAATGGCAAGCAAGACCCATTTTTTTTAATGTGACCCAGAATGCCTAGATGACAAAAATTATAATGCAAGTCCGTTGTCACTAACGGAATTCATTTCATTAAAAGCCCAGCCATTAAAAATGGCCGTTATCGACTTTTATGAAGAGAACATAAAATATTTAATCTTTTTATTGGTCCCTATACTGTATTAATAAAGAGGTAAGCGTAATCAATAAATTTCATTCGAGAATTTGTAAAAGTATTGTAGAATGGCGAATTTTTAATTTTATAAAAATAATTTGAAAGGAGTAGGTAGAAAAAGACATACCTACGTTATTATATTATAATTTCAATGATATTGCATTTTAAATTGCATTCACTTCTATTTTAGAGCGTCAATTTTAATCAGAAGCATCATTAAAATTTTCTGTTTGCGATGCAAAATCCTAGTATCAAATTTATAAAACATTCTGGTAAATAAGATAGCAAAACATTGCACTTTGTTACCGCGATTATCAAAAAACTGATTATTTAATGAAACCATTGTTAGTAATTAGGTAGGTATACCTATTTGTTTATATCTGTAAAGTAAGTCAATAGGCAAATGTAGCAATTTTTGGCAGATCTTTGACAATTTGGCAAATTGTTAGCAAATATATGAATAACGTCTCTGCACAATTTGTTATTATTTGCAAGTTCGATATTAATACCTACATGTTTATGTACAGTAGGTACAGTTGTTTTACAAAAAATATATAAGATGTGAAGATCCTCGAAAAGCTGTTTTAATTATAACCGTTGAAAATTGGATAAATAACAAGAATTTTCTTTAATAAAAACAGTGGTGGATTACAAAATTAGAATAATAGCGTAAATATTCAGTGCATTATTATAATTGGCACAAACACCTTTTATTTACCTGTATGTATGAAAGGATTATATACCTAATTTGCTTTCTACTCTGAAATATGTACAAAAATTTATTTGGGAACGCAGGCAAGTAGGTATATTAAAAATATTCATAACTTTCTTTAAGCGTTTATAAATCATGAGTAAAACAAAAACAGTCAATCTAATATTCGCCTTTTACCCTGAACTTTACATAAAAATACCTAGTAAATATATATTTTTAATAGTTTACTTTTAAAATATCTAGAACAAACTCTAGAAACTTTGAATACTGGTAAAAATTAAAAAAATCAAGCAGATGCACGTAAAACGGGCAACTACATACGTGGTGTTATATTACTGGTTTTCTGACAATTCTGACGCAACAAAAATATACTACCAAAAATACAAAAAGCAAAACAACTTACTATTTGTTCCCTGACATTATTGTGAAAAATTTGTTCATTCAGATCAGGCTCATCTTCATAATCTTCCATTATTTCACCTATTCGTCAAAACTGGTCCTTCTAATACAACTAAATTAATCATTTTTTGAGTTTATGCAGCGAGAAAAAATATACCTTCCATTTTAGGTTATACTTAATTAAATCACGTAAACACAGTTATGAATCAATTAACACACGTTACTTGCTAACTGTAAATTCTTCAGGCAGCACTTTTACCAGCGTTCTCAAAACGACTAATTTATTTGACCAACAAATAAACAATGTCAATTTTCTAGCAGCAAAAGCAGCTGCCAGATGCCGATAGTGGCGCCAGCTGTTGTCAATGCAACGAACTTTAAAACAAATAATGTAAAAGTAAATCTCAGCCCGACACCTCCCGGTAAAATGATAAGGTAACTTGAACGAATCAACTAAAAATTTAGAAATCTACCCATTTATACGGAACATTTCTAATCTGTTGCAGCTTCTTATTGGTAGGTGTCTCATATTCTCAACTTACAAATTTAAATAAGAGGTCTACACAGAGGCTGTTCTGTTTCTGTTAAAAGGACATAATGGCAATTATAAAGCAATATTGACTATATAAACAAGAAATTATGTCTTGAAATAAATTCTAAAAACATATTTTTGGGATACAATTTATATAAATTACTGAAGTAGTCGATCTTGTCAACTGTTTTGTTGACATGACAGTTACAGGTCTATGAATAATAACAAAATATGCCATATTTCATAATAAATGGGTACGCAGGTTGCCCCAATTTTGGTCATGCCATTATTGTGGCTCAATACTTATCAGAACGTTTACCAAATTTTGAATTTAAAAAAGTTGAGGTAGCACCTACTGAATGGGGAGTAAGTAACATGTGTTTCATTTATTTATTTTTTCAAAAACTCGAAACTTGAAAAGAAAAAACAGCAAGTGTATATCTATTTCTTTGTTTCCTTCTAGGATCATGTTATGGATATTAATAAATGTAGTAATTGGTACCTAACTAAAAGTCCTGTTATATGGAAAGAAATTCACCAATGGGGAAGTAAAAGATATTTACTAGGTGGATTAGGAGAATTTTGGGAATACGTTTACTGTTATTATGGTTTAGAATCTATAATTCCAAAAGCTGATTTAAGGAATCTTGCTGCCAACAATCTTAAGGTAATACCCTTGCTTACATGTATTTATGAACAAGAGTAATAATTATAATTTACTAATATGCCAAAAACTCATTCACATATTTTTTTATTAAACAAAATCAAGTTGAAAGGATGTTTTGTTTGTTAGTTTTATGAAGAAAAGGTGCGCGGTGTCGCTGAACGATTAAAATACACTCGTATTATTAGTATAATAGGAGCCACCAGTTTGGTAACAACCTTGCTGCTAAAGGAATTGTTCGAAGTGCCCAATTTGAAAAAGAGAGATGGCATTATAGTGAGGTTGTTCGACGAAAACCATAATGATGAACGCAAATACAGTATGATGGAAGATATGGCCATTTACTACAATTCTTTGAGTATTTTTGGTAGAGACCAAATTGTTTTTATTGTGAATAATCTGGAAGAGTTGCTGGATAATTGTGATTTGCTGATAATCGTTGAGGATTTTAGACCAAGTAAGGAAGTTCCTGTAACTTAAAAAAATTTGATTGAGGTATTACTTATTAAATTGTTTTAGATAATCAGAGCCAATATGAAGTAACACTAAAAAGGTGCTTTGCTAAAATGAATTACCTCTCTGAAGCAGTTAACTCCAGTAAACACCGTAGTCTAAGAATTATATTCTCAGGTCAGGGACCGCTATGTTTTTTGGCGACCTGTTTGGTGGAATTCTGTACTACTGTGAGGCCTTCGGATATAGTGGTGTTGGCGGCCGACGAAGGTCTTTCTTACATAAGTGTTTTGTCTGAGAAAACTGGCATTCCCGTCTCTAAAATATCCGCCCCTCCAGTTTGGGGCTTCATCGGAATACATTCGTTTGTCGATGAGGCGCAGACTGTATTTAAGGCTGACGTATACCGACCCAATCTGAGGTAAAATCTAGAAATTTATCTGATTGGAAGAACCAATATGCCAAGACGTCGGCAGTCAATAGTTCATTAAATGACTATATTTTTGAGACTTATGTAAAATTTTTGCACAGAAGGTACCTAACCTGCCATACTATTAAGATCTCTTGTCTTTGCCACCCCTACTGCGGACTATTTTGTTGATCTGTGCATCTCGCTTTCAAAATGAGTTTGGTCAAAGTGTACTTGATATATAAATTAAATTACATTGCAAAAAATCTGAGTATAGACAACCAATTATACGACAAGCATGTAGTGGCGGTAGCCTTACAACTTTACATTACGTTAATGTTTTGTTGTTATTATTAATGTTACTAAAAACAACGAAAGAACTTATATTTTCATGGTATTTTAAGTTTTTAATTATTAACAATTAATTAAAACGCATTTGTGTTTAGTTGTTGATTAAAACTATCCATAAGACGTAAATATAAGTTGATTAATTATTCCATCAGCAGATCATATTTAAACGAAATTATTCCGGTGTCCAGCCAAGTGAAAAAGCGCCCAGAGCTGCACGAAATACGGTTTGGAATACACTGATGAAGATATATGAAGTTGTTAATGCCCTCTTTTACCATTACGTTATTTTTACAGATCTTTAACTGCTCCTCACGGGTCAACTTTGCCTTTGGGTACCATAAAATCGGAGCTAAGGTTAATGTCTTACCTGATTACCGACCACGATGAAGTTGTGAGAACGGTCGAGGAGAGAAAAGTATGTTTATTTGCCAAGTCTTGCGATTAGATTGTTATTTTTCTTTTAAATAATCTACTAGGTATTTAATTAAGCAATTATATCTAGTAATAATATTTTTTATAGCAGGTTTACGTTTATTTCAGAAAAAAATTACCAAACTTCAGGAACGTCCGACTATTTTCCGTAAAATCAGGTCCGTAATCAGTTTATTGAAACTATGGTATGCCGAGCAGCCTTCTGACGATATAATATCCTTAGGAGTGTGTTCTGACGGTAAAACTAACTTTTTAGTAGACGATAAAATTAAAAATTTGAAAGACAATATTTTAGGCTCTTTTGATATACCCGCAGGAATGGTGTTTGCTCAGCCGGCAAAGTTAGACTCAAGATTTAGATGGTTACCTTTCGCGGAATATCCACTCATGGATGATTTTACTAGGGCCAAAATTAAGGAGTGTAAAGAGTCTTCTTCCCGATTTTTGGAGCAATCTCATTTATTGCACCACATGTGCAAAGACTCTGAAGATATTTCTTCCAATCCGCATTGACTAATGAATGTTGATTATTTATTGCAAATGTTTTTAAATAAAAATATTGTTTATTATATTTTTTATTATTACAACTGCGGGACATGGTCTGACAATTGTCTGACAAGTCATTGTACGTTAGATCAGGCGAAACTGGTTCATTTCATCCCAAAAACAGGAATGTGGGAAGACCGAAAGTAATTGATGCCGAAGACACAGAAACCAGCACAAGACGTGAAGGTGCAGCCATGGATGTAAGCAAACCTTTGGGATCCAGAATAATATGGAAAGAAAAGTTGTATCCATATCATTTTACCCCAGTCCAGCAACTTTTACCACAGGACTTTCCTGCAAGGCTCCAATTTTGTCAGTTTTTTAGAGGATCCAATAATGTTGTACAACAAAATTTTATTTACTATTGAAGCCACATTCATTCGAAGCGGTGTGTTTAACTGGCGCGCAATATCCATACCTATGCGATGGAAAATCTGCATGCCCTCCAAGAACACCATTTTCACCATAAATTTTCAATAAACGTTGGTGTGGCGTCCTTGGGGATTGTATTGTGGCACCGTTTGAACTGTCACCTAGACTTGACGGAGCAACATATCTCAGTTTTTTGAGAAATGATTTACAAATTCTTTTAGAAGATGTACCTTTATCTTTGAGACGTGACTTTTGGTACATACATGATGGTGCCCCAGCACATTACACCCTAGATTCCCTAGAAGTTAGGAATTATCTAGATGAAGTTTATCTTCATTGGTGAATTGGTAGAGGTAGTGTACACATATGGCCAGCACGTTGTCCCGATCTAAATCCCCTAGATTTTTACTTTTGGGGCTACTTAAAATCACTTTTTTATAAAAACAAAAACAATTTCCAGGAATTGTGTCAAGAAACTGTAGAGAGAGTTAATTTATCAGGGACCAACAAAACTCTTTTTTTTAAGGTACCTAAGACGGAACTTGAATAAAAGGGTTAGACAATGTATTATAATAAATGGTGAACACTTTCAACATTTATTGTAATTTGTTGCTGTTTTGTTTCCAAAATTATTGTAGATCAATTTAAAAAAAATATTGCTCTTTCAACTTTAAGTCAATTAGGATTAATAATAAGAATTTTTTACATTTCCTTTTACTTAATTAACTTGCAAGCAATTGCCTCGTAAATGTCTTAATAAAAATAATTATTTCGATCATTTACATTTTATTTTCCAATAAAGTATCTACAACAGATACACTTAACATCCACTAAGATTGAAGATCGTGAGAATACATAATGATTGCGTTTGCATCACTTTGTGACATACAGTTTTTTGATTTAATCATCTCAGTGAAAAAATAACGTTTAATTCGAAAATTGAATGCCATGTCTTTATTTTTGCTCGAGAATGTACATACAGGGTGCACAAAAAAGTTATAGCCATATTAATGAACTAATGTCATCATCTAGCGGCGATGGTGAAATTGATACCATTTTCGTATTTCACGACACCAAATTTCATCGAAATCCGTTGAACAGCTTTCAAGATATTTCAAAAAATAATTGGAAATGAAACATCCTGTAGAACGAAAAAGAGTAACATGTTGCTAAAACATGTTGGATCCAAACGTTTTATTTTGATTTTTACATTGACAATTTATTAATGAATTAATTCATGAAGTAGTTTCATCAAGAAATTTGACAAGTGTAATCCACCAAATCTGCTGTCAAATAATTTCATGAATTTATTCATCAAGTTCTTGACGAATTAAAGCATGTTCTAATTTTCGTCAATTTCTTCGTGAAGTTCGGAAGCACCAACCCAACAGATTTCCAGTCTCAGATCAGTAATGAGGTTATGTTATTGGAATATGTAAATAATTTTGTGGCGTCGCGTCGTACTAATTTTGCATTGTTTTTACTGATTTGTTACTTACAAACACTAATATTTATATAATGTGTCAAAACGGTACCGCTACAGTATCACAACAATTATGAGTGAAAAGGTGACATTTTTGAAATTTATTTGCTTTGATGCGTCAAAAAACTTGACAAAGTCTGTAGCAGTGTAAAACCACACTGTTTACCAATAAATTCGTGAATTAATTCATGAAGAACTTCGTCAATTTATTCACCAATAAATTGTCAATGTAAAACAGCTATTAGCTAATGTCCAATTAATTATGGGACACCCCGTAGATTAGGAAGTACGGCGTACAGATGTCGCGTCTATTTCCTATGAAATATATTGACAGCATCATGACTAATATCCATACTATTAGGATCTCAGAAGAATGAGGAAGTAAGATGTAAATATGTTCAAACTTATCGCACCGATATTGGGAGCACATAAAATGTAGGAGGTATTTTACTCGTGAAATTACTCAGTTATCATCAGCAAGTAGCTTTTTGTTATTGCTGTAAACACATGATTATTCAATTTTGAAGAACTAGTATTAGGAGTACATGATATATTTGAACTTTCTGTTACTTTACTTGTTATAACTGTTAGGTATTTAATCCGATATTTCTACTTCTTGTTATGGTAAAATGACTTGCCTTTGAAGATATATCGATGGAGTTAATAAGAAAAAATATATATTGAAATCATTTATTTGAAAAATAATTATATGATAATATAATAATAGGGCACTTACACAATACAAATATAGAGTAAATTATTTTCTAAAGAATACAAAAATATTTCTACAAATTCGATTTAATGAGATCAATATTGATGCAATATGTTATATATTGATGGATTTCATATTCTTAATCATCTTTGCAGATTGAATATTTACAAATTTTACATTTTACTATAAAACTAGTGTTTATTTACAATCTCTATATACAGGTGATAAAAAATATTGCATATTTCATTTTGTCGAAACTTTGAAACATTTATACAGAACGTCAGAAATTTGAGTGCCTTAATTGAAGGGGTCAAAATAAATAAGAATATTTAACATGGGTTATACAATTAACAGAGAAAAATAAACTGAATTATGATAGGTAGAATAAATATAATATAGAAGGAGAGTAAAGGTAATAATAATAATATTTCCTGACCTTTATTTAATTGACTGTTGGACATTTTAAATCATTTAAATCATCAAAATTCATTTATATAACTGTTAAGAACTCGCGATATGGTATCGCAATCGATCAGATATCTGTATAATTCGTTAATAGGTATAAACTTAGTGAAGCAATGCTTCTTTTGCTTCCAAGGGAGCAAACTCTTGTTAAAATAGAATCACTAAAACTTATGACATCCCGTATAAGTCAAAGGTTTTGAAACTTGGTCCCATACAGTTCCAGAATACCACAAAAGCTATAGTACTGTTTTTATCTCTATTTACATTACAAAATAGTAGAGGAATAAAACTTTAATGTCAGAAAAAAAACTTCAGTTGACAAAGAGTTATGTCTGCCTAGTCAGTTCAACACATCAAATTAAGTACTTTTTGATAAAACTAGATTTTCAAACAAAGGTAAAATGTTTGTTCTGATCTGTAAGTATTGGCTTTATTGGCACTGAAAGAAGTTAGGTAAAACAAAAAATGAGCAAAAGAAGATAGAAACCAGTTTTAAGTCTCTTTCAATTAATGTAAATTAATTCAATAACAATTATCTCTTTGCACATATCACATGTGTGATTAAAATCTTCAACTTATGGATAACTGGTGAATATTTAAATTAACTTGATATTTTTATTGTCTCAGTTATCACCGGACAGTATACGCTTCAGTTGCTATAAAATGCAGGCAATTTATCCTCTAAAAAGAAACAAGCCCTCTTTAATTAAGGGTGACCAAATGTTGCTCAGATACCGAAAGTGCTAAGAAACGGAAACTTACGATATCCAATTTCTATGAATCTAAACATTACTCTAGACCTAGAGTTACAAAATCATGGAAAAGATTCAGTCTTCTTAAAAGCATAGCAACTCGCACGATCCTACTGCGAATGGTAAAATGTTGCTATCACATTTTCATATAGGCAACTCGGGTCAAGACTTAATAAATATAACTTCACAGTGTCGAGTTCTTATATACTAAGGGATGGCCTCTTCTTGCGGTCCCCCTTGGAGTTCTTGCCGAAGATGTTGCCCAGAACCTTCGAGACGCTGTTGACTCCCAACTTTCTGCGGATGGGCAGGGCTTTCAGCAGCTGGACTGATCTCGCCTCGCGGAGGAGAGACTGGAAGGCCAGGGATACTCCCGCGAAATTTTCCGCGGCGCTAACTTCGTAAAATTGGCAGCCGTACTGGAGGGATAGCTCTTGGCCGTCGTCCACGCAGATTTGCCTAAAAAATAAAGATATTTTAATGATATAAAGAGACAGAAAATCTAGAATGAATTTCGAACAATTCGATGTATCAAAAGTTACGGAAAGAGTGAAAATTATTTTCTAAAGTATCATGTGGGATCGGAATACTTCTCTGTAAATTAGTGTGCATATTTCCTAGTCTAAATTTAAATAAAATATGATTAACTAGGCCAATGACCTCTGACACTGACCTAATTTAGCTGAACATTTCTACAGTCACTACTACAAGTAGGCGGAAAGTTAAATCAGGTACTTTTATTTTTTCATATTCCGCCCCTTCATCAGCAGAATAGAGTCGTAGAGAAATTTTAATTTATGCTAAAGTTATTTATTAATATTTTTCCACAACCAAATGGTCAACAGTACACAGTTTAAATTTAAGCGGAATTGATCCTGATCGAAAGCTTACGAAGTGCAACGGAGGCTAGCCCCTCTACGCAAGCCGTACGAATTGAGCCAAGTCACAGCAAATCGAGCTGTGTGGTCCTTATGTATAAGATATTTAAGGTCTGTAGAATGACTGAATATGTCGTCATCGCTTCATTTTGTTACGTTTATGTATAAAAAAGTGTACATGAATTCTCCTGTAGAATTACGTTGTTATGAAGTTTTATAGTTACCAATATTTTGTATTTTAGTAATTAGAATTATGGTAACCTATAAAGGACAGAAATCAAGTCAAAATATACAGGGTGTTAGAAGTTTGACTATCTTAATTTTAACAGACGATAGAATACATTAAAATAAACAAAAATACCTTATATGACATGGGTCCTAAACTCAACCATTTTCGTGAAAAAAAAAATCAAAATCTCCAACTTGATGTACAAAAGTTCGATTAATTGAGGAATATTGACATAACTGCGTGCATAGAATACCATAAAATACAATGTTTATCACTTCTCTGAACTTCTTTATGCTTAAATCTAAAAAATTAGCGTTGTAATAAATTTAAAATTCAATAAAATTCATATCGAGCAATGTGACAACGGCGTGGCGGATAACACGAGGTACTAAACTGTCCAGCAACCAGCAATACGCAAATCTGTTGGTATCTGAAATTGGACCGTGTCTGAGTGTTTTTTGCGTACCACTATTTCCTTTTCTTGAGGTGTTTTCCAGCGAGTGCGCGAATTGGATTCGAAGGTATCGTGCGTGCGTGCATCGAAAATAGTGGTGGACATTTTGAGCATATGTTGTAGTTTGTTTTGTGCGTTTAAAAATTACTGAATTTTGCTTTTTGATAAGTATCTAAATTATTTTTAATACGTAGACATTCATAATTACTAAAATTCGAGTTAAAATTTAACCATAACACTATATTCGTACTACAAAATCGATACACGTTATTTTATTTATTTAGAAACTGGAAAACAATTGTCTTGAAATTTACTAAATGTTTCACAATAATAGTTGTTTACATTTTTTCCGTAGAACAAGTCTGCCGCGTGCACACGTGGCTGCGTAGCGTTAAGCTCTGTTGTCACCTTGTGATGAAACTCCCCAATATTCCTCGCTGTATTTTGAAAACTGTCAATCTTACGTCCCTGTAATATACAACTTCTTTGTTTATTTATCTGCTGAAGTAATGACAGTCAAACTTTTTACACCCTATATACTATTTGTAGTCGTCATTTCTTTGGTAATTTGATAGAAAATGGCTGTTCTCAGCAAAGTTTGAAGAGTAAACTTTTTAATTAAATATTAAGAATTTGCCTTCAAAACTTGAAAAAACCAATGGCGTAACCAATTTTTCCTCAATAAACTTTTTCTATAATTAATTGAGAACTAATTTTATTATTGGAACAAACTTATAGAACATACTGTATAATTTTATCTAAAATTTCGTTTGTGGAAACAACCTATTGGGGATTTGATGTTTAATTGTTATGCAAAATGATCAAGGGCAAGCATCATAATATATTTATTTGTGTGACCAATTTTGCAAAATTGATTAAGTTCCAGTCATCCCAGTTTTGGCTTCTGCCGGGTGTCTTGAATGAAGTTGATGACCGTGTAATTAAAAATCCACGATTTCATCTTACTTTCTTCATCATACTGACACAAAGCAGCATCGTTGTAAAAAAACTGTCACGTACCGTTAGATGTCTAAAGCGAAATTTAAGAAAATAACACGATCATGGACTACAACAGCCAAATACATCCACTTATTTATGGAAACACATTGCATTCAGTTTAGTTTGTGAAGGGCAACGAACTCGTGTAGCGAAAAATTATGTAGGCTTTTGAAATAATCCTCTTACACGAGTCGACTAGAGAGATCTTTGTCTTTGATGTAAAAAAAATTGAGTGAATTAATAAAAGTAAACCCTTATTTGGATATTAGGCTCCTAAAATGGTAAAATATTTGCATATTACATCAAACTGTTTAGAATATTTTTAAATAACATCTCCTAATGTCCATTTGTCTTAGTGCTTGATTGCGGTCGACATGAAAGAAGGAAAAGATATGTCTGCTCATTAAAACCGTTAACTGACGAAATTCCTGACTGATTCAACCAAAGTTATGAACATTTAAAGTGGAGACTGTCTATAAAAAAAGAGCTTCCGTGAAATTCGGTAGGAAACACGGTGAAACGCTTAAAAAAATTACACTCACAGCTTCACATAATTAATAATTATTAATACTTAGTTGTAGACTTTATTCGACATATTTATAACTTTGTTTCCACTGGAGTTAAGGCAATAAAAGCTTATTATGTATGCAAATGACTTAAAAACGCAATGAAGGTGCTAATTTCATACATTCTTTCATATTTTGTATGCGGGTTGTTTCAACAAAAGTTTATGTATGCAAATACCCCTACAGCTTTAAAGTAAATTGGACTATAATAATTTGGGGTCTTTTTCTCTATCTCTGTTTTATATATTTCCGTCAAATTATTTACAAACTATTTACTTAAACAACTGTCGGCAATAAATGGAGTCGTTCAGCATTTTCATGTTTAGAAAGTATACCATAATTACCACATCGTTAGTTAATGCACATAAAATAATTTCTCCCTTAAAATAATAATTAATGAAAACGGATCACGGCAGAAAGAACGGAAGCCATTTTGTGACGTCATACCACTCGTTATCGGGTTTGGTCGAGTCCCAAATACATCACTGATATCTCTAGCTATGAAAGCAAACAAAAACGAAGAAATTTAAACCATCAAACCCAATTAAAAAAGAAACGTTAAGTTTTGATAACTATAAAGGCTTGACTTTTTGAAATTTCAAGTACCATTGTAGGTAGATCTTGCCGTAAAAGGGGATATGTGCCAATATGTAAATTACTCAGAAGAGACAAATAAGTTTTTGTTGAAGTTAGATTTTTTTGATATAATTTGCCGAATATGACAATATGTCCAAAAAATCATTTATAATCTAATTTACGATTTAAGCGTTTTTCTGCACATACAATTATTAGATACATGTACTTATAAAATAATATTTAAGATAAACAGTTGCAACAAATACTAAGGGCAAAAAACAACATATGGTTCTTGCACTAGTCTACAGTACAGGATAAGTGATTTTATCTTATATTTAGGTTTCACTTAAATTGATAGATTCCATATCTGCACCTGACGAAAAGAGAACATTTCTAACCAATGCCTGCAGAAAGCTTTTCTCGTTATAAAAATAACTTTTGACTGATCCTTTTCGCACAAGTTGATTGATTTTTTTACAGATACCCAAATATAATAAACAAAGGAAACAAACTAAAATCATATCATCTAGCAGGCGGGTCGATCCAGTCGGGTGGTATGACGTCACATTATTTATCACAGTTAATAAACGTTACTGACCTGATGTAATACTCTAACCACTAACACAATAGTGCCTCAACTGATTTCGAATCATATTTATTATATTTTAATTACACTTGTCTATGTGGAATTTAAGCAGATTCAATTAATTAAAGCAAATTTCCATGAATATTAAGAAAGCTAATGGACCTTTGGCACATACAAAAATGATTGATTTATTAATATTAACTCCATAGGTACCCTTTATTTTTCATTAAAACTTTTCACATCTCCTTAATTTTTCTGTCTTACGACACCACTTCCTTAAAAAATGAAAAACCAGTGAAGAGTTCCTTAATTTTAAAATCGTGATGGCCTAGTTGCTGCCACAGTGGGTTAACAACCTGGAAATGTATGTCTAAAATATACCGAATATGACATTAGGGTACTAGAAACCTTCTTAAAATATAAACCAGCAAATTATAGTCGACTGACAGCAAAAACCTTGACGTTCGACCCAAGACGCATATGCTGTATCCAGTGGCGTGTTGTCCATTAGACAAAATGGGTAAGGTCATATAAGATTAATAATTTATTTCTGTCATTTGGGGGATGCCCCAAAATTTCGAAAAAAGTCGCGTAATTTCATTGCTGTCAAGGCTTAGCAAGAAATAGAGTTTCGGAGGGTTGGGACAGGGTAGAATTATTTTAGATTTTGAGTGGTTAAAAAAATGTTTGAGTCGGCAAAATAAAAATTTTCACACAGTTTTTAATAGGATGTAGAATTCGTTGAAATATGTCATTTTATCAAAAATCACCGAAGTATATAAAAGGTGCAAAATATAAAAGTATATAAAAGAAGCACACGTTTACGAAAACAATGAACTTGTAAACATTCAATTTACAGGGAATATCGACAAAGTGCAGCCGCTGCATCTTGTCGGTCCCATCAGTACAACCATAGGAGCACTTATCTATCTTGCAACCATTACAAAAGGCGAAATTACTTATCCATTTTTATGAGGTTTACAGCTACATCCTACAGCATTAAAAAAATGCCTCAACATTGGTAACACCCCGAACAACGCGCCACTGGCGGTACCCTTCATAAGGCAGACACGATCTACGATAAATTAGATTACATTTTATAATCAATTATATAATAGACACGTCCACGTATATTATTAAATTATTACGTTCCTGACAGGTGATTTAATGA